CCAACATCTCCCTCCCCCGCCCCGCCACGCTCTCGGGGCGCACACGCCGCTCTCCAGGGCGGGCGACCACGGGCCCTGCGGTGCACCTGGAACGGTGTCCTGTGATTCCCAGCACCGCCCTGCGCATGTCACCATTAAAAAAACCCAGGCAAGGGAGGTGACAAGGAAGGTCGGAGTGGCAGAGGCAGAGCTGGAGGCCCGGCAGGACTGCAGTCTGAGCCCCCTGCCACTACGGATCAAAGGGCGTTGGCAGAGCAAACACCCTGGAAGAGAGGTCGAAGCGGGGACAAGTTCCTGAAGCGGGGACAAATTCCCCCGGGATCACCAAGGGGCTGAGTGCTGTGGCTTTCCAGCACAGCCAGGGAATAACAAACAAAACACTCACGTTCTAGAAATATAGACATTTATTTTTCATTAGTAAAAAGTTCAATACTGATAAGGAAGATGCAAATTTGTCCTTTCATGCATTTGGGGAGCTTTAACCTGTTCACTGTCGTTTGCCCTCGGAATTGAGCCCCTAGATTTCTGGACTGACCCCAAGAAACTGGCCGGCCTTCTTATTGGATTTTCCCCTCAACAGACAAGTGGAATGTTCTAAGTATTTCTTAAAATTCTAAACCAAAGCTCAGCATTAATGGCCTGGCCAGGTGGAAAACTACTACTCTTGAACTGCCTATTTTCGGCCTCTCAGTATCTCAGTAATCTTGCTGGAGGTACGTACACCAGACGGCGTGCAAGCAAACGTGGCTTTAAAATTTTAATCAAGAAATTTATCGTTCTTAAATGCAGACTGCAGAGCAGTTGTTGAAGTTATTTTTGTTGTTTTCCAAAATGAACAGGGTCCTAAAGTGTCCGTTAAGAGCTACCTATAGATGTTCAATGCCTTATTAAACTATTACAGATTGAAAATGGAGACCAGAATTTTATCATAGAAATACCCACTCCAGAAATGAGGACAGAGTGGCATTCAGTGCAAAGCGAGGCTTTTCATCGTATCCACAATAAACGAAAAGTCCACAGGGAACACCTCTGCACTCCTTAAAGTGATCGTGACTACGTCACCACAAGCGTGTTGTTCACCCTTGCGGGATGAAATCAAGTTCTATTTTACTGAAGAAATTCCTTGGGTTTTTATTTTAGGACTCCATTAACAGAGAATGAACACCTGAATGAAAACTGGAAAACGTTTATCTTTAGGAATGTAAACAGATGTTTAGCATCATCCAGACAACTGACCATTTTTTCTCTGGATATCTGCTATCAAGGGAATAAAGTCTTAAAAACTGTACACATAATAGTTTCACCAAATAGCTTAAAACAAAGCAACTACTCTTATGACATGACATTGGAACCAATAGCTTTATAAAGAAAATTTCCCCTGGGGCCTAAAGGACACCATCAAACTATATTTCTAGAGTTCTTTCAGAAAAGTTAGGACTATTAATTTGGTTTATATATGTATATATATATAATTACATTCTACATAGGTTTCAGTTGAAAAATGATCACTCTTGGATAAGAAATGTTAATTAAAATTAAAAAGTGGCCCTCATGACAATTAGCAATGGGGGCAGTAAAGAATTCCAGCAGATACTGTATGTTTCTTATTTACTAATCAGTAAACAGTGTCCAAGAATTGTGGGTTTCCTAGGAATTAATTAGTTACCATTTTATTACAGCAGATCCTTGGAATAAAAAAAATGACAACTTGTGAGGGATAAGTCTGAAACCTGAATGGTATTACCATATTTCATATTCACCCAAATAAAGGGCCCAACTTTACACCTTTCTGGGGAAACTTAACAGAATCATTTTCAAGAGTGTCATCAGCATCATTTTGTTTGATATTTTAATATGAAAGACGAAACCCAGTAATTCCAAACTGGCTTTGGGTAACATCTCATGGAGGGGCAGTGTGAAACCATCACTACAATGAAAAAGTTTAATAACGTTAAAATGTCACAGTTATGTCATGTCTCGGCAAACAGGCCATGGAGTTACCTGAAAACATACGTTTGAAATCAGTGCCACAACAATCTTTGCTCGTAAAGAAAATTCCAAACCCTCTACCATTAGCCAGGGTGAGGGAATATGGTGACAAACAAGCCTTAAATGTGTTACTCAAAATGCGAGACAGTGAAAATACTGCAGATTTCTTTTTGAAAATAATTAAAGTCATTTATAGTGAAATATGAAAAATGAACATAATTTACAAAAAGTACAGGTCAAAATGTTCAATGGGAGTGACTCAAATGTATTCAAAACTAAATGTCAAGTGAATAAATGAATTTCAACTAAAGACTATAAATGGCTAAGAATTAGTTTTCAACTGAGCTAAATAGGGTTTGAAAGTTTAAATGAACTCAATGCTTTTATCAGACCTTTATTTAAAATTAGTCTGAAAGTAAAAAATTATAATTATACTAGTCTCAAAGATAGGTGTAATTTCTTCATGGGAAAATATCTAATTTATATTTTGTTATAAAAATATACAAAATACTACTTCTCACCTTCCTTCACTCAGTAAAAAACCCTTTTGGCTCAGTAATGTCAGCCAAGCTGGTCACTTAAGTTCAAATTATATCCATATTGCATCTTCTAGAGTCACACTTGATTTTAAGGCTCAGTATACAATTTCTTTCCAAACATAAAATTATCATAATTGCTTTTATGTACGGATAACAGGATAAGAGTCTTTAAAAAAAATATACAAGTGGGATAACCATTTGTTGTATGTTATTTTATCCCATTTCCCCCAATTATTAAAACAAGACAAAATCACTGAAACCATCTCCTACTTATAATTAGAGGCGGCAAACAGTAAAAAAAAGTTTGCATACTTTCGATCAAGCAGAATAAATATAAATCTTTTGATTATCCATCATTAAAATTTTTTTTCAACTATGCTTCAGCTGTTGAAAATATTACCTGACAACTTCAGGTGACAGAATAACTCTGTTTTTTTTTAACAAGGTGAAAAGGGATCAACTATCTAAGACCATTTTCAATTAGCCATTCGAAACTGGCTTCTCTCCCCCCAACCTATATTTTAAAAAATAACTTTAACATAACTTTTGGCATTAACTTATATTTGCTCATCATAAAAACTGAAATAAACAGATGTGAAATTGATAAACTTTACAAAATATTTAACAGGAAGAAGAGGTATATCTTACAGATTTGGCTATATCATAAGGCAATCTATGAGGACAGAATTTTTTCTATCGGAAATTTGACATAAGTAAAATTCTAAAACATGATAATTCTCCAGAAATCCAAAAGTCTGTGGGATACGGCAATACGATCATGCCATGTCGTCATTGAACTTCGATGAAAGCAGTCTAAATGAGAAAGGAACAAATTTGGTGCCTGCACCAACGTAGAATTTGTTCTGAAATTCCACCCTAGAAAAAAAAAATTCTGTGTATTAATGAAAGATTGTGAATAACATTTCCTGTTTCTTAAAACATGCGTAAGTTAAAAACAAAACAAAATAAAACAGTTCTAGTGCTGAAGCTGCTTCATCCCATACATGCTCTTGGCACTAATATTTCTACTTAGATGAAATCCATACACACGTGTTGGCTCCCTCAGCCTGCGATGCTAGTGCATCATGCCACCCCACACACCGCACACACACACAGGTGTGAAGACCCCCTCTCTACACCTTGGCAACCAGAAACGCAGACAAGGAATCTGGTACATGCTATAAACCTTTTAGAAATATGCATGGAGTATTTTATAGGATAAAGCAATGTCAAACCCAAAGTGAACTGAAAGCATAAAATATACATAATTATTCGGGAAGCATAAACTCGTTTTCACGTGTCAGTGAGAACAGTTCAGAAACAAAATACGATTATAACTCAGGGGATCTGAACACACAGCCCACTGCTGGGAAGAGAAGAACCAGCCTAATGAAGCACTAGATTTTCGTCTGGGTTATATACATGCAGATACACGCATGTTTGGGGAGGGGATTAGGTTTCTAATAGTTCCAAAGCTAAATTTCAAGCTCACCAATGGAGGCGTATGGCGTGAAGAAATGCAGAAAGCCCTTCCATGATCAAAAGGATGAGAACGGTCAGAGCCGCAAAGAGAGCGGTGACCGGGAGCAGCAGCAGGACTCCGAAGGTCGTGTCCACCCGGAGGCCCACACGCATCAGCATGGCCCACAGGACGTCGGACAGCTCTGCAAAGGAACCGTTCAGCGGTCGGCTCCCGGCCGTGGGCAGTGAGCCACCTGAACTAGCAGCTGGACTGGGCTCCCTTCTGACAATTCTGAGTCACCATCCATGAAATAACACACGAAGAGCCAGCATGCCGGGAAAACCAGGGCCCTGCCTCCCAAAGGGAGATCCTGCAGTGGGGCTGGCGCTGTCCCGACGCAGCCCTAGGCCAGGAAGGCGGAAGCTGGGCGTCCAGTCCAGGCTGTGTCGTAACTGGCTGAGTGTCCCTGTGTCAGCACCGACCTGCTCTGGGCTGCTGACTCCTTCTCTAAAATGAAGCTGACAAACCACAGGGTCTTCTCCAGCCATAAAATTCTAAACTTTTGGCTATGCTTATAAAAATATCAGTGTCATATATTTTAAAAAATCTCTGTCATTTGGGGGTTTTCACAAGCATAGGCAGTCTTTGCACAACTATGCAGAGCATAAAAATGACCGTGCAATTCAAGCCATCCAAAGCAGCCTTAATAATCAATGGAAAAAAGTTACGATTGTTCTGGGACCTTTAAAAATGATTGTCAAAACATTAAAAACACATTGCTGGTTATAAGTACATAGGAAAATGAAAAAAAATAGTAAATCTATTTTTAAAATGTTAGAAACACTGAGCATTAAATTGCTTTTTCTGTAAAAAAAAAAAACTTTTTTCAAAACATTGCTTGCCTCCCTCTCGTGTAACTGGGGCAAGCTGGGCACCTTGACATAAAGCGAGCATCTTTTCTCACACTCGGCAAACTGTCACACCCTGTTCTACGTTTGGACCAGCTTCCAACACGGTGTCCCTGCACCCTCGGGGCCTGAACCGTCTCCTGGAGTTCCCAGGGCATCGCTTCCGCTGGGGCATTCGCATCTTTGTCGTCAAACTGCTTTCCTCATTTACGTGAACAGACGTGCCCCGCACGGTCCCCTGGCGGCCAGCTCGGTGTCTGAAAGGGCGGCGCCCGCCCCGCCCCGCGTCGGCCAGCTCTCCATCGCCGTCCACAGTTCGCATCTCGCTTGCACTTGGCTGCACTTTACCTCTGTTGGCCGATTCCCTCGTTCGAGCATCCATTTTTATTAAACGTCGTGTGGGCTTATCGCTGGCCCACAAGGAGGCGAGGCCACTGTGCGCCTTGCTGTCTGTGACCAGAGGCGCAGGGCCCAATCAGCCACCGACAGACTTCGAAAGGAGTGGGGTGACAGGCCACTGATCACGAAGCGCACGTGTGTTACTTACGTAGTGATCTGTGAGCTCAAGAGCTCGCGGTGAAGCTTGTCCCTTATGTTTATACTGTGCTAACTGAAATTCGAAACACGTTTTCGGGGAACTGGTGTTATTTAAAACGTGATAACTGAAGTTCGTGCGTTATCAGAACTATGCAAAGGGAGTGCTGCCTGTCATCAAAACTAGTCGCCGGCACGGTTTTTAGGACTTGCGTGACATAAGTGGATAGTCACACTCGGTAATACAGGGCCGGATAAAGCAATGACGAGAACGGTAACGGTAATGGCGGAGGGCGATGGCGTCTGTGGCAGAGGCTCCAAGCCTTCCCCGTTCCCCAAGCCCCTGTACCCGGTTCCCTGACAGCACCTCCAGGAACCACCCAGGAGACCCCCGCACCGAGCGCTCACATCCAGACGACTCCCAGGGCCAGCTCACCCCGCCTCTGAAAGATGGGCTGAGTCTCCCTCGCACATTAAAGCGTCCCCGTGAGTTGAGCGTGGTGCCGGGGCGTCTCGGCAGAGTTTGGGGAACTGCGGGACGAGGCGAACACTTACGTGCGTGAGCCAGGCTCAGCGCCCAGAGCCGCAGGTACGACGCGGTGTTGGAGACGCAGCCCAGACAGTACTCGATGGAATGAATTACTTGGGTCATTAATATTTCTCCAAAATTAAACTGAGGGAGAGATTACACGACACGGGTTAGACTTGGTATATTACACACGCACTTCCACACGTCACACGTCTGTCCCCGTTCAGGATTACGGTGAAAGGACTGGCTTTTGGAATATCGGCAGGAAGACGCTACGCTGGGGTTTGAGGAACACTGGATCACAAGACGTGACCGGCCACACGACCTAGGGTCGGCCAGCCCTTGCACCCCAGCCTCCGCTCCCACACATACACCGAGGGTCTGGACTGGGACTGTGATGCACGCGGGCGGCCCGCCACGACCCGAGCCAGCCCAGCGAGTGCAAAACGTCAAGGGAAGACAGGCGCTTGCCACGCTCCGGTCAGACGGCTACGGAAGAAGGCGCGTGCTTCACAGATGAGCGCGTCCTAAACACGACTCGACACGGGGAAGTTGCGAGAGGGGGTCCCGGGAGGGACAAGGCCACACGACCATTCTAAAATGCTGATCCTGAGCAACTGTGTTTGGTCCTCGTTGCTAAGCCAAGATGGTTTCTGAGAAAACGGCGCTGACTGGCATGGCGGACGTGCTGTCGTGGGCCCAGGACTGTGCCTCCCGCCGCTGCGGGCTCTGCTTCTCCCCGTCTAACCCTGCACCCCGAGCCACAGCTGTTATGGGCTGAACTGTGCTCCCCTAAGTTTGTACGTTGAGGCCCCAACTCCTAGCGTGGCCGTGTTTGGAGATTAAATGCACTGCAGTAACCCTGATTAGTAACATCATATAAATTTCAGGTGTGCACCATTGTAACTGCACATCTGTGTACGCCAGGGCGCGCTCACTACCTGTGTAGAGGCGGACGTGAACGAAACCAACTCCGTCTCTGTGTCTCAGATTTAAGTTCCACGCTGTGACCAACCTCGCTGTCCTGAGCAAGCCTATCGGAACTTTCTAGTTGAGGATTACCCGTGCTCCCCAAAATGCCGCCCTAAGTATTTTTGTCTGTAATGGCCAGACAGGCACGAGGATGGAGATAAAGATCAGACTGGTGACAGTGCTGACTACGAGCGATCACCCGTCACAAGACCGCCGGAGGGTACGACCCCCAGCATGTACTGCATTCTTTGTCCCTTTGTCTTGTCAATCATTAGTACCCGAGTGATGCTACAAAAACAGTCCCGTAACGGGTCTGTTGGCGGAGAGTCGTCTGCGCAGAACCGGGGGGTCGTCTGTCTGCTCCGACCCAGTCTTCCCGAGTAAACTGCGCCATGACAAACCCCGCTACGGCCTACGGAGGTGCCTGCTTCGTCTTTCGGTCTGAAGACACCTTCCCCTTACGGTGGCCACTGGGCCTTGGCCCACCCCAATTCTTTGTTTTTCCCTAAGATTATCATCATTCTTATCTCTCTGAAGCCTGGGTCACTTGTCTAATCTGGCAGCAGTAAGTGGAGACGTTACCTCTTCACACCTGGCTTCTCTGCAGCCGTCGTCCATCTGGTTACCCCCCTCTTCGATGTCGTGGCTGCCCAGCAAGGACACTTCTTCCTCGCTGTCTCTCCTCACGAGCGTGTAGCCACTCTGACGAGAGCCAAAACAGTGCAGTCAGTGCCTTGAACGTGAAGGTTGTCACAGAACCAAAGCTACCCCTGCATTTCTCGTCACGACTCTACTCTTCAGGAATAAAAAAGTTCTTTTAAAAAAAATGAGTACTTCGTACACAACGAGGTGACCGTCACTAAAGGGAAACAAGAAGACGACGGCAAGTGTCGGGGTGCAGAGACCGGAGCGCTGAGCACTGTGGGTGCAAACGAAACGCTGGTGCGGAAGAGTCTGGCGGCTCCCCCCAAAAACTAAACGCAGAATTACTACACGATCCGGCGAGCCCATCTTGGGGACACGCCCGAACGGACGGTAAGGCCTCAAACTGATAGTTACGTGCCCACGTTCAAGGCAGTATCATGCACAGTCACCAAAGGCGGAAACAACCCAGTGTCCACGCCGGGGCGAAGCGGTAAGCGAGAC